AGCCGAAAGGCGAGGGGCGAGTTGACTTGCATGATCACCCAACAGAGTCAGCTCCTTCGAGAGTTCGCTCGGATGCAGTTAGACGTCGTCGAGTCACTTCCTACGATGCCTATCGTAGGAGGTGTTCGGTCGATAAGAGTGTGGCCCATGCTCCGAGATCGAGTTCGGAGAGATCAGTCCGTTGATGAGTTCGTCCGTTCCATGAGGGCAAAGGTTGTTGCCGAGGGCGTAGAGGGGTTTTACCGAGGCGCGGATGGTGCCTTGGAGTATAAGGGAAGGCTCGTTGTGCCGAATATCGAGGCCCTGAGGAAGAAGATCTTGACCGAGGCTCACAGTGCACCCTATTTGGCGCACCCCGGCAGCACCAAGATGTACCACGACCTGAAAGGGTCGTTTTGGTGGAGGGGCATGAAGAGAGATGTTGTTGAGTTTGTGAAGAAGTGTTTGGTTTGCCAGCAGGTGAAAGCCGAGCACAAGTTTCCACCGGGTTTAGTGCAGCCCTTGGAGATCCCACTGTGGAAGTGGGAAGAGCTTACCATGGATTTCGTTACGGGACTACCCAAATCGAGGGAGCAGCATGATGCGGTTTGGGTAGTTGTGGACCGACTGACGAAGGCGGCTCATTTCTTGCCCGTGCGGATGACGATGTCCATGGACCAGCTCGCGACGATCTATATCCGCGGGGTAGTACGACTTCATGGAGTCGCCAAGGTCATCGTGTCAGATCGAGATCCCCGTTTTACCAGTCAGTTCTGGAAGAGCCTCAGCGAGGCCGTGGGGACGCAGTTGAGGTTCAGTACCGCTTTCCACCCGCAGACCGACGGGCAGTCGGAGCGGACCATTCAAACACTCGAGGACATGCTTCGAGCATGTGTTCTGGACCGTGGTAGTTCATGGGAGGAGTTGTTGCCGTTGATTGAGTTCGCGTACAACAACAGTTATCAGGCGTCGATCAGGATAGCACCGTACGAGGCGTTGTACAGTCGCAAGTGCCGATCACCCCTTTATTGGGATGAGGTCGGCGAACGGCAGGTTCTCGGACCGAAGCTGATCGAGGACACGACGGAGAAGGTTGCCTTGATCCGTGAGCGGATGAAGGTGGCAAAGGATCGACAGAAGCGTTACGCTAACCAGCGTAGAAGAGATATCAAGTTCGAGAAGGGAGATAAGGCATTCCTGAAGATCACGCCTTTGAGAGGCGTGGTTCGCTTCGGGAAGAGGGGGAAGCTGCAGCCCCGTTTCTTAGGCCCATTCGAGATCCTTGAGCAAGTGGATGAGGCCGCATACCGGTTGGCGTTGCAACCCGAGCTTTCGGGTGTGCACAATGTCTTCCACGTTTCGATGCTGAAGGATTACATGTATGACCCAGCGCACGTGTTGAGTTACAGTGAGCTTGACGTCGGGCAGGACCTGACGTACGAGGTGCAGCCGATTGCTATTCTGGACCGAAAGGTTCAGCAGCTGAGGAGCAGAGATGTAGTGCTCGTTCGAGTCTAGTGGACTCGCCACGGCGAGGCCGAGGCCACGTGGGAGCGAGAGAAGGAGATTCGAGCTTGCTATCCAGATTTCCAGTTCTGATTAGTAGTATCGTATTATGTATTTTCAGTTTCTAGTTTTAGTCGAGTTGGCCTTATGTTTAGTTTTGTCATTTCCGGGGATGGAAATGTTTTAAGGAGGATAGATTGTAACACCCCAGACCAAAATTATATTAGTAGCTCGACTTATTTATCGAAATTAGTAATATTTTAATTATGCAGAGAATTATTAATATTAATTGCATAATTTATTTATTTTCAAGCCCAAGTACTATTTTAAAAATCGAGCCTAGTAGCAATTATATATCCGAGCCCAAGTCGTTAAAAATCGAGCCCAATCTATTAGGCCCGATGCTAAGCCCAATAAGAGCAAAACCCTAAGCTCCCCATCCTCCTATAAATATCATGTCTCCTTGTCCCCCAACAATCCAACACAAAACCCTAGCCCCCAAGTTACTATTCATTGTCTTCTACATTCAATATTAGATCCAAGCAAAGAACACCTTCATTTTCAAAGATCTAGTCCAAAAATCCACACCATGTCTTAGCTTGTTCAAAGATCTAGCTTTTAAAATCAAAGACCCACCTTCTCAAGCCAAGAACATAAGCTTTCTTCCTTATCATACCATGGCTTGACCATTTTTCCGGCGAGCTCCCAATTTTCCGGCCAAACCCGCAGCCCTAGCTCAGACCACTGCCACCACGACGAGCTCATCCCGTCACCACCATCGTCCAGCTCCCCACGGCAAGAACACAGCCCGCAGCTCAAGACCCGACCAAACCCGCAGCTCTCCAGCCCCGTTTTTCCGGCGAGTTCGCGACCTTCCTGGCGAGCTCGAGACCACGTCCAGGCAAGCCGTAAACGTCGTCATCTTCCCCAGCTCGCGTCTTTACGGCGAGGCCCAGCTCCGGCGTCAAGCTTTCCGCCGTCGTTTTCATCTTCCCCGAGCTCGCACCTTCACATCGTCCTCTCACAGATCCGGCGACCTCACAGTCGCGACCACACACCGAGCTCCGACGAAAAACTGGAAGCCCGAGTTGTACAACCTCCGTGAGCCACCGCGACCCTACCTGCGGAACCACCGTCCTCTCCTCCAGCTCCGTTTTTCCGGCGACCAAGCTCCTTCACACGGCCCGCGACCGGCAGTTTCAGCCCCGAACCGACCACCTAACCTCGGGTCTGACCCGAACAGCAGCCCAGCTCCTCATATCTGCGACTCTCGGCCCAAAAACCGA